GCTGCCTTGAGCCCTTTGTAGGAAAAAGGCAGCTTACATCTCCTCCTCCATCTTATCCCCACAACAACAACCCTGTGAGGTAGGTTGGGCTGAGAGGCTGTGACTGGCCCAAAGTCACCCAGTTGGCTCCATGGCTGAGCGGGGACTAGAACCCAGATCGTCTGAGTCCCCGTCCATGCTCTTAACCACTACACCACACTGGCTCTCTGGATGTCTCATTTTTATTTTCTTTGATCAGAGCTTTCTGATCTTGCTCGGAGTGCTGTTTCTTCTAATGCCTGTGTGCTATAACACAAAGTAGCCAGTCAGATGCACATCATGTCTCAAAGGAATCGTGTGCTGTTTAATGACTGGAGTGGTACTTCTGTCAGTTGCTATGGCAATGAGGAGTGCTAATGATTCCACAAAAGTAAGGGATTGGGATCTGGTCCTTCTTCACACAGAACAATCTGAAGAATAATTTTACGAGCATAAGCTTGTGTGTGTGGTGAATCCCCTAAGTTCCAGAAGTGACTCAAGTTGTGTAAGGATTTCTGTTCGAATAAATATCCAAAGCCTTGATCCATACATGGAACTGGTTCAGCCAAAGCAGTTCTCCCTCTGTCTAGCTCCTTTTCAAGCAGTTTACATGAGTTAGACTTCAGTGAAATTTGGTTTGTGAGCTTACATCAGTGTCCTGTGATCTGTTTAACTTTTTAGTAGAATCACTGTTTTTGTATTCTTGCTTTGTTAAACTATCTTAAGCTATACGTAGAGGTGGCTTCAGGATTTTATTAGTTCCATTTTGTTCTTAAAATGCTTCATGTTTCTTCAACCTGTTGATAATCTTATGTTGCTCAGTGGCACTTTTTTCTGTTTTGCAGTTTTCAAGGTGTTCCTGTGGCTTATGATGATATTAAAATAACAAATGAGCTAGGAGATATAATTGATGACCTTGGAGCTATCCATCTGGACATTGAAGCAAATTTTGTTGTATTTCAGCCTAAACCAGGGAAAAAAATTGTGGTATGTAAATGTTTGTTTGGCTAGTTATTCCACTGCTCAAAGCAGAACCTTCTCATAAGCTGGTAAAAAGATTTACCACAAGATATAACTCCCAAGTGCTTGAAGGTACAATTCTATGCATGTGTAGACAAATGAGGCCTACATCTATCATTTCCTAGCTAGCACTCCTGGATGGGGAATGCTGGGAGCTACAGACTTTTATCTCAATATGCATAGGATTGTGCCCTTAATTGATTTGTGCTACTATAGAGTTTATTGTAGGAATAATTCTTACAGCCTGATCCTGTATAATATTAGGCATGCCTAAATTCATTAAAATCAATGCCTTACCACAGATACCACTGTACTTTTTTGTGAGACTGGTTTTCCTTAATTATTCCTAGGAATACCATACTAGCAGTGCTGCTGTAGGGAAAAACTGGAGGTGAATACTATTCTTTTTATGTAAACAAGATATTAGGGTTGCTCTTGAAGCATTTCACAAAAATTACAGGCTATATGGCTTCACAACTGTCACAAAGCAAAGTCTGTATGCTTTTTTTAAAAGTCAGAATTCCAAAGATACAGCTGCTTTAGCCATTCTGGAATCAGTGTGTTAACTTAGTTGCCATTTTGATCATCTGAGCAGATAAAGACCAGGGCTGAAAATCTCAAATGTTAAAGGATCCTAGGGCAGTTGAGTCCAAAATGTAATTAAATTTGCTAACACACATCCTAATTTTGTACTCCTTATATAACTCTAATGTCAGTTAACATCTTCAGCTTAATGCTATAGTGCTTGTAGTGCACAGATCCTAGTTTCTGTGGTGCGCATTACACTTCAAAAACAAACTTCCCCCAGAATAAATCTTCTGTAAGTGTCTCTGTTTAGTGATAACTTCTTTTAATCTTCATCTCATGTTTTCCACACTGAACATACTAAGGCAGAAGTGAGAAATGGAGTTGAGGGAAATCAAGCCCTTCCCCAAGGTTCCACTGGTCAGGGGACATAACAGGGTGTGGCCATGCACCTTTTACATTCTTGCCCCAAAACAAAGCTCTTGTTGGAGCTCCAGATGGGGTTTTGCTTAAGGGTTGCTTCGCCAGTTGTATCAGATTGCAAATATGCACAGGCCAGAGTTTCCTGCCACCCCAAGTAACTCTGAGCTGTGGCTATGCAAGAAACCAATCAGGGTGCTATGGCATACTTCTAACACATCTTGTGTTTTTCTTTTTACCCCAGGGAATAATCAATAAAGTGGCTCCTAGCCACATAGGCTGTCTGGTACATGGATGTTTCAATGCTTCCATCGCAAAACCTGATCACATATCAACTGATGAATGGAAGAACCTTGGCTTTCAAATAGGCCATAGATTAGTTTTTAAAGTATTACATTTTGATTCAGATGCCGCTGGAGTGTTCTGTATCCGAGGAAGGTTGTGTAGAAACAGGTACAGTAATAACGGGGGCCTTTTACAAAACAATGTGAATGCTTTCTTCCTACATGCTTAAGATAAAGTTGCATGGAATGCAATAGAAGCTTTGATGTCTCTGACCTACATCTTAATTTTGCCAGAGACTGAATGCTAAGAATTGGAGAATGGGGTTGTAGGATCTATGAGAACTAGAAAGAAAGTTTAAAAAGAGGTATAACATTACACCAGCATCCATACAGTGGTGAACAAATGGCTTCTCCCTCAAGGGTCAGCATGTTGTTGGTGAAGTTTCTGTTCTAATTCAGAAGATACTTCTGTGCCAGTTAGGCAAAGAGGGGTAACACTTTAGATGATGATTAAATTCAAGCCATTGCATACTTTACTATGTTCAGCTTTCTGTTACTAGCAAATTCTGATTAGCTATGCATTCAACTTTGGTAAGCATGTACAAAAGCATCTCATTTTTGGCAGCTGTTTCAGGATGGTTCAATATACATCCTGCATGTGGCCCCTGAGGCCTTGTTCTGTGGCCTTCTCGCTGCTTGGACCCTGCCCCCCCAACAATATGGATCCCAGCAATGACATGAGCGTGATTGTAGTGAATACCCCTAAGGCTACCATCCTGTCCCATTTTCTTCCTGAGGCTCAGATAAAGAGGAGGTCAGATTAAAAACTCACCCCAGCATGCCCTGTACTGCTCCAGCTGATGAGTTCAAAGATACTCAGACTGAATGCCTTTATGCTCGTCAGCAGGAGCAGGAGAAGCATACTAGGGTGAGCTTGCTGACTGAAGTGCAAAAGGCTCAGTACACTAATTCCAAGAAAGGGGGAAGAGGCTGGGGGCAGTCCCTTGGGAAGGTTGCTGGGTGGGACAAACAGGGAAGAGAGATGGGCCAGCCCAGAGGGGCAGGCATTGTGCTTGGGCTGTGGCTGGAGAGGTTGCTGCCAGTGATCTCTGCAGAAATCCCAGGCACACAAAGTGTTCTTTTTCAATCAGTGTAATTCATTGTGTGACCCCCAGGTTCCGTGTCAAAGTCTTCATGCAGCCCTCAGGGTACTAGCAAGTTATGCTGTCCTGAACTATGTATAAGGCAGAGATAGGAAGATGAATAATTAAATGGCACAGAAGAAGGATTCCTATTCCTATGCAAGTTTTGAAAGGGGAAAAGTCCTACAACTCATAACATGCCCCACTTGTTTGTCTAAACATGCCTAAGATGGTGCCCTAAGTGGCTTGAATGTTGAGGTCTAATGATTCATCCTCTTGTGATACTGGTTCAGTACAATATCCTTGGAAAACTCATTGTCTGCATTATTTTTAAAATGCAGCACTGGCGAAGAGACACCACAGGAAAAAGGCAAGAAAAAACATGAGAAGCATTGCGATGTCCAAAATGCCCCAGAGGAGATGGAGATTGATGTAGGAACAACTGGGATCGAAGCTGGAGATGTGCAGAGCAATGACATTGATTATGGGATATATGAAATGCCGGAGAGGGAGAGTGAGCAAGACAGAGTTGATTTGGGGACCCATGCCAGTGACTCCAGCGGCTACCATAGTGACCATGGCAAATCTAAGAAGAGGAAGAAACTATCTGAGGAAGAAAACGGGTACCTGGAATTGTCAAAACCTAAAGCTAAAAAGAAGAAAAAAGAATGAGGGTGTCTGAATAATACCAAAAGTGCCTTGATTGAACCTGGAGCTCTTTCATCAGACATATTTGGACTAATTATGCTCCATTTTAACATCACCAGCTGGATAGAGTTTTGTTGTAAATGTTGTATATATGCACAGGGAGAAGATCTGTAGAAGCAAATAATAAACAATCTGAGAAAAGAAATTCATGTCCTTTTCTACAGTTTTTACCCAGGAAGTATTAAAAGTTTTAGGAAACTTTTGTTGGTTTTTAAAGTTTAATCCCGATATCCAGTACTTACGCACAATAATCACCTATCTTAAGGAGTAAGAAACCAATTGCCAAAGTACTATTTAACAGATCTTTCTGGTATATACATATGTACAAACTATTCATCAAAAGTGAAAGGCATATGGGAAGGTTAGGTTATAACTTGGTGCAATTCTTCTGTGTAAACTGTCTTGAAATTTCATAATGACTTGCTGATATATAAAAAGTATAAATAAATGTTTCTACCTAAGATGGTTTAAATTGTCAGGTAATGTGTTAAATGATGGACTGGGATTCTAGTCTCAAGTTGTTCAGGAAATAGCTTTATTTAAAAATAATGTCCTGTCCCTAAATAACCTAACAAAGCTATTGAATCAGTGGTGGGAGAGAAGCAGCAAACAGCATGATTAGATTTGTACAAACTTTTAGGCAATAAGGCTTTGATACAATCAATCACCCCTAAATTTAAATGGAAGCATGCATATTTCTAGGGATGTAGGTGGCGCAGTGGTTTAAACTGCTGTGCTACTGGGCTGGTTGATCGAAAGGTCGCTGGTTCAAATCTGCACTACGGGGTGAGTTTCCGTTGCTCTGTCCCAGCTCCTGCCAACCTTGCAGTTCGAAAGCATGCAAATGCAAGTAGATAAAAAGGTACCACTTTGGTGGGCAGGTAACAGCATTCCGTGCACTTCGGTGTTTAGTCATGCTGGCCACATGACCACGGAGACTGTCTGTGGACAAACGCTGGCTCCCTTGGCTAGGAAACGGAGATGAGCACCTCCCCCTAGAGTCAGGTATGACTGGACTTCACATCAAGGGGAAACTTTTACCTTTATGCATGTTTCTATTATTTTCTCAGTGCCTTTGGTTTTTATATGTGCTACTGGAAGAAGTAGGAGCTGCAGGCCATTGAGATCCCCTGTTGCATAAGAACCAGAACATTGGTGGGACTCGACCTAATTGCTAGGTGCTAAGCATCTCCCTGATAGAAGGAGATGCTCACCCAGAATCCTCAAGGAACAGCAGTTAGAACAACAACATTTAAGGTCTGGGAAGCTGAAAGCTTGCACCATGTCTCAGTGTTTCATCAGACACCATTTCTTCCAAATACTTAGGGAAAAATAATTAGTCTCAACACTGGGAATAGGTAGAATGTAAATATAGTGCTTTAACTGCTTGGTACTTAGCTGGCATAATCAAGTGTTGTTTTGCTTTTGAACCTTGTGTAACTCTTCCTTTGTATGTACAGTTTGTGTCTGTTTCTTCATGGTTAAAGAAAGCTTTGCTTGCTTACTTGAGGCCTTCCCTGTATTCTGGATTTCAGCTCTCAGCCCAGGCCAATATGGCCAGTGGTTAGAAATCCGAGGAGCTGAATCCAAAGGATTTGGAGGGCACCAGGTTGGTAAAAGCTAAATATTAGTGGCCTAGGTGGCCCAATTGCCTAACCTGCTATAAGCTAGCTTTCTGCTTTGGTTATGTGCTGTCGAGTTGTATCCAATTTATTATGAGCCTATGGATGAAAACCCTCCAAAATGTTCAGTCATGACAGTCCCACCCAACTCGAAGTACAAGGCCATGACTTTCATATTTGGTCTTTTCTTCTGCCTTTGACTTTTTCTAGCACAATCGTTTCCTTCAGTGAGTCTTCTTATGATGTGTGCAAGGTACGACAACCTCAGTTTTATATTTGCTCCTGGGGAAAGTTTTGGCTTGATTTGATCTGTGACCCACTTGTTCACCTTTGCTGGTTCAGGGTAGGGGTCCTCAAACTTTTTCAATAAGGGGCCACTTGAAAGACGGCAGCTACACGCTCAGGCCGGTGAGGTGGGGGGGGGGGGGCCTGGGCACACGCAGTGGCGGCAGCTCGCTCACTCGGAGATCGCCCAGCAAGTCCACTGCCTCCAGCCCACGCTGCAGGGCAGCGGCTTGCTTGGAAGTGGTTTTGAACTCGGGAGATCTCCAAACGAGTCCAAAACCACCTCCGAGCAAGCAAGCCACCGCCTCCAGGCTGCGCTGCGAGCATGGGGGCGGCAGCACGGGCCGGATGAATTGGCATGGCAGGCTGGATCCGTCCCATGGGCTGTAGTTTGAGGACCCATGTTCCAGGGTATTCACAAAGCTGTTCTCTAGCAAAGGTAACTTTCTAGCAGCCCATTCGTCCAGCTACTATAGTGTTGCATTGGCCATAGCTTTCCCTGGCTTTCGCCCACCTCCACCTATAAATCCCAGGTACTTGTCCTTAGCCCTTCAGTATGCAAAGGATCTAGCATGGTGGTGCAGCCCTCCACTCTATTGCTGTCACGGCATCCTATTACCCACTAAAAACAACAGGCATTGCTTAAATCTAACTTCTCTCTTCAAAATCCAACAATGAAAGAACCTATAAACTGTTGGTGCTACTTCCTCTCATAACTCCTGCTGTTCTTCATGATGGCTGCTCTGCTGTATGAAGTATCTGGTTTTCTTTAGCATGAGTTCTAAGGAGTTCCCTCCACACCATTCCCAAAGTTTTGATAGCTCTGGATGGCACCAGCAGATTCTCTTTGAAGGTTGCTTCTGTGTCAAGTTGCTAAAGAAGAACTGGACATTTGTTACACTGCAATGTCTATAGCTCTGAGTAGCTTTTGAAATTCTATTCTGGAACACTCACAATAACAGGAAAGAAAACTCATGAGCCATTTGCTTAAATGTGTCAGTCCTATGCCAGTTTGTTTCTTTAGTTGAAAGATAATTCAAGATCAATATTTAGCATAGAGAAGATCAGAGTGTAGCTGTGTTGCTGAAATGGTACTCCAAACTGGGATACATTCAAATACAAACCCAAATTGGTCGTTATCAGTTATTTCCATCTATAGTAAAGAGCAAAGGAGAAACACACAGTCCTTGCCATGGTTTATCTTAGATGCCTATCAAGATCTAAACCCAGAATAATGGTGTGATTTTATACATGTCTGTTCAGCAAGTCCTACTGAGTTCAACAGCCCTTGCCTCAGCAGAGCAGCCTAAAACAGTCCTGCAAAGATTTTGTGGTGTCTGCATTTGCTCAACCTGCCATAGCCTGGTGCCTCTGGAAATGTTCAGCATTGGCTATACTGGTTAAGGGCTGATGGGAGTGAATATTTGATATGTCTGCAAGACACCAGCTTTGGAGGATAATGTCACTAGGTGCTTCTGAAAACTCCATAATCAGGGCATGAACTTTGACAGGTTTCCATCAAATAGTTCATCATAGCATACAGTCTCTGAATGTTGACATCTTGTATCACAAGCTTTTCAATTCTATTTCATTGCACTTTCATAATAATAGTCCAGAGAGATGTTGAAGCCCAAGGCAGGAGTTTTAACACAAGTTTGGTTAAAATAAAGTAGCTATTCAAGGAAAAATTTCCTGTCTTGCAAATCTGATGAACTGTGATAGATAGCTTAAATAGAAGCATAGTAGATTATAAGAAAAATGTACTGTTCAATTCTTTGCCCAGATTGTCCATCACAGTATAAGGAGGTCACACTGGGAGTGTCCAGAAGACAACAACAAAGATGATCAAAGAACCAAGGCTTGGATCAGGAAAGCTGATCCTATGCACATATTCCTAGGAGTAAGTCTCATTGAAATCAGTCGACATGTATAGGATTTGTGATGTCAGATAGTTAAAGTGGATTCCATTGAAATCAGTTGGAATGAGTCATAAGGTCAATGGGAGTGAAGTTTAAGTAACAGTCCAGTTCCACAAGACCTATGGGGAAAGATTGAAAAAGTTGACTATAGGAGAGATGCTTAAGAGTCAACATGATAACCATCTTCGTATGTCTCAAGTGCTATCTCATAGGTGATAGAAGAGGAAGGGTCTTTTGCTCCAAAGGGAAGGCTTCAAACCAAATGGGCATAAATTACAAGGAAGATGATTTCAACTTAACATTAGCAGAATGTCCTGACAGTATAAGCTGTTTGACAATGGACTTTCCTTTGTTATAGGTTTTTAAGCAAAGGATAGACAGCCCTTTATGAAGTTCTGTAGCTTTCCTGTTCAGCAGAGAGTAGGACTGGATGACCCTTGAGGTCCCTTCCAGCTCAACAGTTCTAAGCTATGTTTGTAATGTTACTGATGAATAAAGTACAGAAATGTTTATATTCTCTTGCTGCCAGTATTGTGCTTATGAATCGTTTTCATAAAAATTTACGATGTGTTCAAAATGCAGCTCCAGAGTTTTCTAGCCATTCCAGTGTTTTCCATAGTCTGAAATGTCTAAAACCCATTCTCTGTTGTGATTTGTGACTTATATATTAAAATATTAAACTGCATTTTTAATATTTCCCTGCCAAAGGAACACAGTTAGGTGATGTCTAGAAGGACCCCAAAGCTTAGACTATTGTGTTTTCATTGTGGATTTAAAGGATAAGAATATAATGGAATTCCATGCAGGTGTTTGAGATCTTAAAGAAAGCCCTGTGGATTCCATGGAAATGCTTGCATGAAATTTAGCAGTCTTTGAATCATTAATTCCATTATGCTTGACTATGTATTTATAGTCCATCCTGGAAAAAAGGAAGTGTGATTTCTTAGTTCCAAAGTAAGTAATATTACAGACTCAAATATAACAGGGTGACCAAAATGTCCTTAATGTCATGACTTTGTTTTCTGATCCGTGTGATCCAAGAATGTGTTCCCTTGTAAAGCAAAATAAACTTCCAATACATTTGACTCACAAGCTAGAGAATTATAGGGTGAATTTTATGAGCACTATTGGTGTGTGTATGGGGGGTATACTTTAATCAGCAAAGCCCAGGTGCAGAACAAGCTTAGGGTGGCCTACTTTTCAGAGAACAGTCCTTAGAGGAAAGTCCTTTATTTGAATGGCTGCCCAGTCCAAGTTCAGTTTAACAATAAAAAAGCATTAGAAGGAAGAATAGCAAGGATCTTGAATCAGCAACAAAC